CATTTTGTTGTAATATTTGGCTTTATCTTCTCAAGCTGATCTTTGAATTTTTCTGTTCAGCTCTTGGACCTCCTCATTTCTTCCATTTGCTTTAGCATCTTTACACTGGAGAGCAAGTTTCAGTTTCTCTTCTGACATCCATTTGGACCATTTCTTTCTTTCTTGTTTTCTTAATGACTTTTTGCTTTCTTTCTGTATGATGTTCGTGATGTCATTCCACACACCTCTTCTGGTCTTTGGTCTTTAGTGTTTAATGTATCAAATCTGTTCTTCAGATGATCTCTAAATTCAAGTGGGATATATTCAAGGTCATATTTTCGCTCTTGTGGACTTGTTTTCATTTTTTTCAGCTTTAGTTTGAATTTGCATATGAGTAATTGAGGGTCTGTTCCACAGTCTGCCCTTGGCCATGCTTTGACTGATGATATTTTCCACCGTCTCTTTCCGCAGATGTAGTCAATTTGATTTCTATGTATTCCGTCTGGTGAGGTCCATGTGTATAGTCGTCTTTTATGCTGTCTAAAGGAGGTATTTGAAATGAAGAAATCACTGGTTTTGCAGAATTCTATCATGCGATCTCCAGCATCATTTCTATCACCAAGGCCATGTTTTCCAACTACTGATCCTTCCTCTTTGTTGCCAACCATTGTATTCCAATCACCAGTAATGATGAATACATCTTGAGTGCATGTTTGATCAATTTCAGATTGAAGAAGTTGGTAGAATTCTTATATTTCATTCTCACTGGCTTTAGTGGTTGTTGTGTAAATTTGAATAATAGTGGCATTAACTGGGCTAATATCCTTGTAGGAGCATGGATATTATCCTATCACAGACAGACAGAGTTGTCCCTTATGACTGATCTGGATATGTTCTTTTTGACAATGAATGCAACACCATTCCTCTTCAATTTGTCATTTGCTGCACAATAACCATGTGGTAATCAGATTCAAAATGTCCATTACCAGTCTATTTCAGTTCACTAATGCCTAAGATATCTATGTTTATGCGTTCCATTTCTTTTCTTTTTTTAAAAAAATGTTTTATGGTGAATTATATGATAGTTTACATGGGAGAACATTAGTTATACATTCTTTCTATCGTATATGGTTTCATTGCCATGGTTACAGTCCCCTCCATACATCATCAGCCAACCACAGGGTATACCCTGCAAGCCTGCCCTTCCCGGTCATCAGCACACAGCCCCTACTCCTCTCTGGGTCTAAAGTCCCCAGCCACTACAACTCTCAACGTCATCATCTCTGGCATCACTGCTTCTCTGGGTTTCACTGCTTTTCTCCCTTGACGGTCCCAGGGACCTCTGCTCCTAGACTGCAAAATTAATTACTCCCCTCCATGCTATAAAACGTCTACCATTACATTTCCAACCCTCACAAGCAGTCCTTATAACAATTATTCACTATTGTATCACAAGAGACCCATCCACATTTCCTTTCATCAACCCCTTCCAGACAGATTGATACTATTCAGTGGAGATTCTACCTTCCGCCACGCCCTTTGGATCTAGGTTCCTTCCTAAAAGCTTGTAATGTAAGCTAGTCACTTTCCATTTCATTTTTGACAACTTTCAGTTTTCCCGGGTTCAAACTTCGTACATTCCATGGCCTGATTTTCAGTGGATGTTTACAGCTGTTTCTCTTCATTTTGAGTTGTGCCCCATCAGCAAATGAAGGTCCTGCAGGCTTTTCTCCCATGGACTTTACTCTGTTAGCGTCATCATGGTTAACTCTACTCTGAGGAGGCAGCTCTTCCCCAGTCACATTTTGAGTGCCTTCTAACCTGCGGGGCTCATTTTCAGGCACTATATCTGACACTGTTTCTCTGCTATTCATAAAGTTTTCAGTGACTAAATATTTGGAAGTAATTTGTCACTCCTTCTTCCTAGTTTGTCTTCATCTGGAAGGTCAACTGAAACCTGTCCACCATGGGTGACCCTGCTGGTATTTAAAATACCGGTGGCATAGCTTTCAGAATCACAGCAACTTGCAAGCCACCACAGTACAACCATTCAGACTCATAGTGACCTTGAATAGGGTTCCCAAGGAGTGGCTGGTGAGCTTGAACCACCGATCTTGCACTTAACAGTGCATTGCTTATCTTACAGTGCCAACGCAGGACTCCATTAATATGAGACATGTTGTATAAAGAGAAACTGTGGACACTTGATTGCTATGCAGCAATCAGAATGAATGCAGTAGCTCTTCTCTTCATATATTAATGCACAATTGTCTGAAAATTAAAGATTTTGTAAGAAAAGTAAGGTGTTGAATGGTATATAATTATATTTGTGTAATAACAGAGAAACAGGCAATAAAGTTAAAAATACATATAGGCATGTGCTCTGAAGTCCTGGTGTGATGATTGTAGGCTAAGCACTGGAACTATAGGTCTATTGAACTGCAAGGTGGAGGTTCAAACCCACCGGTCACTCCCTGGAAACCCTATATGGGTCACTATGAGCCAGAACCAACTTGACGGCATTTAAAGAAGAAAGCTTTACAGAATTAGACTGGCTCATCTTTCACCTGTGGAATGGCTAATGGGTTTGACGTTAGCAGCCCAACACTTACCCTTCTGTGCACCACCAGGATTTCTTTATATACAGGTGTACAAGTATGTCTATCAGAGTATCTCTGAAGAAACTATCAGTATTGTTTGCCTCCATGGAATAAATCTGTGTTCGTATTCATCATACACATTCTTGTGCTTTTTTAGTTTGTACCACCACATGCTTCCTAAGTAGAAAAAATTAATCAAAAACAAAGTAAAGTACATTCCTCTGTTAGCTAGAGGTCTGATGTGTGTCGCATGGTGACTGAAGCATGCTTTGGTATAGACTGTAGCTCCTTTCTGTAAGGGTATTAGACACAAACCAACCCTTTTTCGTTGGTCATGTACAATTTATGTACACACACACATGATTCAGTTAGAAGCTGTTTGGGAGAAACTGGTGGCAATTGTAACTTCATGAATAGCATGGTGACCAAGGTGGTCCTAAGCCCATGCATCTGATTAATTGATTGAATCTCACAGTGTATTTATTATTTTTGTGTGTGTGTTTTATGTATTTCATAGACTTTAAATCTCAGCCTGAGCCATCTCCAGTTCTTAGCCAGTTGAGCCAGAGACAGCACCAAACCCAAGCAGTGTCTGCTCCTCCTCCTGGGTTGGAGTCCTTTCCATCCCAGGTCAAACTCCGAGAATCCACATCCAGAGACGGTACCTCCACTGTGAACAAACTTCTGCAGCTTCCCAGCATGACTGTTGAAAATATTGCTGTGTCTGCCCACCAACCGCAGTCCAAACACATCAAACTCTCCAAACGGCGGATACCTCCTACTTCTAAGGTGCGCATTCCATCATGAAGTCTCAGCCCCATAGGTGATTTAGCATCTAACTCTAGTAATAGATTATGAAGCAGCTCCTATTACTATTTAACTGGGTTTATATCAGATGGAATGGTGGGTATGTGCTAAGAGTCAGAGATCGTGGGTTCAGCTAAAGAGAATCTGCTGTTTATACATCTTAGCTGAGTCCCGTAGTTGGAGCGTGTAGCAATTTTGTAATTCACAGAATGGTTCCTTGTCATGGTCATGCTTTCATCAGTGTGTACCTAAAAGTAAAGCAGTCACTCTGTGTCCACTCTTCTCTCCCTCTTGTCCATCCCCAGCATTCCCCTACCCATTTCCCTGGTAACTTTTCATTTTCATTTTCCCTGTTTAAAACCATTCCTTTTTGCTTCCCCATCTTCGTCCTTCAGGCTTGTGGGTAGTACTCTGTGCCTGGTGAGCCCAGTTGCTTGTCTGTCTCTGTGGTAGGCCTTTAGAACTTAGAATTCTAGACCTCTGGTCCTGACGTGGCGCTTTGCTTTCAGATCCCAGCATCTGCAGTGGAAATGCCAGGGTCTGCAGATGTCACAGGATTGAATGTTCAGTTTGGCGCCCTGGAATTTGGATCAGAGCCCTCTCTCTCTGAATTTGGATCAGCTCCAAACAGTGAAAATAGCAATCAGCTTCCTATCAGCTTGTATTCAAAGTCTTTAAGGTATATAACATTCTTGTTTTGACTGAATTAAGTCCTTTGTATTTACAAAGCAAAAACAAAATGTAGCTCAAAATCTTGGATCAATTTGATAGATCAACACTATTAATTCCAGAATTTTGATCATTATTGTTACTGCCAGAGTAATAGGATATTTCATTGTTGTTTTTGTATGCATCTCTCTAATGGCTAATGAGGAGTTCTGGTGTGGTGCTGTAGGATAAGCATTGTACTGCTAGCCATAAGGTCAGCAGTTCAAACCCACCAGCCTTTCCTTGGAAACCCAATACCGGGTCGCTATGAGTTGGAACCAGCTCAACAGCACTTAACAACAACAGTGACAAATGATGGAGAGCACAATGACTCTATGCAATAAGCACTGGACTGTGAACCACATGGTCAGCAGTTTGAGCCACCAGCAGATGAGATCGTCAGCTTCCATAAACATTTATTGCCTTGGAAACTCTATGGAGCAGTTTTAGGATGTCCTTTAACGTCTCCCTGGAGTTCTGGTATGGCACTGTACGAAAAGCACTGGACCACAAGGCCAGTTTGAATCACAAGGTTGGCTGTTCAAACTCTGCAGCCACTCCTGGGAAACCCTGTACAGGGTCGCAGTGAGTCAGAACCTAGTCAGTGGCATTTGGCAATGACAGTAGGTTCTCTATAAGTCAGAATCAACTCAACAACAGTGGTGTTTTTGTTTTTAAAAGAGTTTCCATTTGTTTAGTTCATCTTGTGTTGTTTGTGCATTTTCAGTTATGTATCCCTAAGGATTCTTTTTATTTTCTCCCTGTCATACAGATTATCGGATCTTAAGTGTTTTTTTTTTTTTTTTTAAACATTCGTTGTACCTTTTAATATAATTAAGGATTACAGTAGTATAAGTTTGTAGTTACAAATAATGTTTACTTAATTTTACAATAATGGCAATAAAGTGATGAAGTGGTTGTAGTTCATGAAGCTATATAAACGGACACAAATTTACTAATATATCTAATACTCTTTGCTCTTTCTAGTGATCCTTTGAAAGCTTCCTTACCAATGACCAGTGCAGTCCAGGACTCCACCTATACAACTTCAGTCATTACTTCCTCCAGTCTGACCAGCTCATCCCTGAGCTCCTCTAGTCCAGTAACAACGTCTTCCTCCTACGACCAGAGTTCTGTGCACAGCAGGATCCCATACCAAAACTCTGTGAGTCCATCGGAGTCAGCTCCAGGAGCCATCACAGTAAGTATTTTCAGGTTTCCTCCCTTAGGAACTGCTACTTTGTAACACAGTTATGTGGATTGGGAACACAAGCCTATTGGATCAGAGTTTCCTTACAGAAATTGACTGACTTTTTGAGTAGTTTATAGAGCTTCCTTGTAAATTTCATGTACAGAGGACATTTCATTTGAAGTTTGGTTTTCCAGCACTCATGCATACAGATGAATGGGCCTACAGACACACACATATGTGAAGAAGACAAGACTCAATATAGTTCAAGCAGTTTATGTAGTCTTAGCAATTTTGTGGTTGGTATTGTTAAGTGCCATCAAGTTGGTTCTGACTCATAGCAACCCTGTGTAAGTAAGGTTTCCGAGGCTTGTAATTCTTTGTAGGAGCAGAAAACCTCAACTTTCTCCCATGGAGTGACTGGTGGGCTCAATCCAGGGACCTTGTGTTTCATAGTCTGGTGCTTATCATATGGAGCCACCACGCTCCCATGAGCAGTTTATTGCAGTTGCTGTTAGGTACCATCAAGTCAGTACTGACTCATGGTGACCCTAGCACAACAGAATGAAACACTGCCTGATCCTGTGCCAACCTCACAGTTGCTGTTACATATGAGCCTATTGCTGCTGCCATTTTGCCAGTTCATCATATTGGGGGTCTTCCTCTTTTTCTCTGACCCTCCATTTTACCAAATATGATGTCCTCCAGGAACTGGTCCCTCCTGACAATATGTCTAAAGTATGAGAGACAAAGTCTGGCTGTCCTGGCTTCCAGGGAGCATTCTGGCTGTACTTGTTACAACATAGATTGATTTGTTCTTTTGGCAGTCCACGGTACTATTAATATTTTCCTCCAGCACCATAACTCAAATGCATCAATTCTGCTGTGGCCTTCCTTATTCACTGTCCAACTTTCACATGCATATACAGTTACCATGACTTGGGTAGGAGCACCTTACTCCTCAAACTGACATCTTTGCTCTTCAGCCCTTTAAAGAGGTCTTGTGCAGCAGATTTGCCTAATGCAATACGTCATTTGATTTCTTGACTGATGGCTTCCATGAGTGTTGATGGTTGAGTAAAGCAAACTGAAGTCTTTGACAACTTCAGTCTTTTCTCCATTAATCGTGATGTAGTTTATTGGTCCAGTGGTGAGGATTTTGTTTTCTTTACACTGAAGTTCAACCCATATCAAATGTTTTCATCTTCCTCAGTGTTTTAAGTCTTCTTTGCTTTGAGCAAAGCAAGGTTGTATCATCAGCATATTGCAAGTTTCTAATGAGTCTTCCTCCAATCTTGATGCCATGTTCTTTATATACTCTAGCTTCTAAAATTATTTGCTCAGTGTACAGATTGAATAAGTATGACGAAAAACACAACCCTGGCGCACACCTTTCCTAATTTTAAGCCATTCAGTGTTCCCTTGTTCTGTTCGAACAACTGGTTCTTGGTCTGTGAATAGGTTCCTCATGAGCACAATTAAGTGTTCTGGAATACTCCTACTTCACAATGTTGTCCATAGCTTGTCATGATCCACACAAACGAAAGCCTTGGCATAGTCAGTAAAGTCCAGGTAAACATCTTTCTGGTATTCTCTGCTTTCAGCCAAGTTCCATCTCACGTCAGCAATGATATCCGTCCTTCCATGTCCTCTTCTGGATCTGGTTTGAACCTCTGAAAGTTCTCTATCAGTGTATGGTTGCAGACATTTTTGTATTATCTTTAGCAAAATTTTACTTGCTTGCAATATTACTGATATTGTCTGATGATTTCTTTATTCTGTTGGGTCACCTATCTTTGGAATGGGCACAAATATGGATCTCTACCAGTCAGTGGGCAGGTGGTTGTCTTCTAGATTTCTTAATATAAATGAGTGAGTGCCTCCAGTGCTTCATCAGTTTGTTTCAAGATTTCAATTTGTATTCCATCAATTCCCTGAGCCTTGTTCTTTGTCAGTGCCTTCATTGTACCTTGGACTTCTTCCTTCAGTATCATTGGTTGATCATATACTACTTTTTGAAATGGTTGAATACCAACCATCTGAATTTAGAGATCATGTCAAGAACAAATTTGATGCATTAGAAAGTAAGACCAAAGACCAGAAGAGTTGTGGGTGACATCATACAGGATAAAAGCAAAAGATTGTTAAGAAGATAAGAAGGAAGGAAGAGAACAAAGTGAATGTCAGAAGAGACTCTGAAACTTGCTTTCCAGCACAGAGATGCTAAAGCAAATGGAGGAAATGAAGCAGTAAAAGAGCTGAATAGAAAATTTCCAAAGGCAGATCTTGAAGACAAAGTCAATATTGTAACGAAATGTGCAAAACACTTAGAGTTAGAAAACCAATGAGGGAAATGAACAAAAAAATTCAAGCCTCGGCTTTCAATATTGAAGGAGTCTATGGGCAAAATATTGAATGATGCAGAAAGCATAAAAGGAAGATGAATGGAATAAACAGTCACTGTATGGGCAGTTTATCACTGGTTATATGGTGTGAGCAGTATATGTAGTGTGCATAGACATATGAGCTGTATGAGAGACAAAGTCTGGCCATCCTGCCTTCCAGGAAGCATTCTGGCTGTACTGTTTCCAAAATACATTTGTTGGTTCTTTTGGCAATTCATGGAAGCTTCAGTATTCTCCTACAACACCATAATTCAAATGCATCAATTCTTCTACAGCATTCCTTACTCACTGTCCAACTTTCACATGCATATTGAAAATTCCATGACTTGGGTCAGGAGCACCTTAGTCTTCAAACTGACATCTTTGTTCTTCTACACGTTAAAGCGGTCTCGTGTAGCAGTTTTAACTAATACCATACGTTGTTTGATTTCTTGACTGCTGCTTCCCTGAATGTTGATGGTTGACCTGAGCAAAATGAAGTCTTTGACAACTTCAGTCTTTTCTTCATTTATATGGATGTTGTTTATTGGTCCAGTGGTGAGGATTTTTGTTTTCTTTACACTGAGGTGCAACCCATACTGAAGTCTTTCATCTTCATCAGTAAGTATTTCAAGTTCTCTTCACTTCAGCAAGCAAGGTTGTATCATCTGCATATTGCAGGTGGTTAATGAGTCTTCCTCCTGTCCGGATACCACATTTTTCTTCATATAATCCGTCTTCTCAGATTATTTACTTATCGTATAGATTGAATAAGTATGGTGAAAGAATAAAACCCTGTTGCACACCTTTCCTGATTTTAAACCATTTGGTGTTCCCTTGTTCTATTCGAACAACTGCCTCTTATTCTGTGTACAGCTTCCTCATGAGCACAATTAAGTGTTCTGGAATACTCATTCTCCACAATGTTGTCCATACTGTGTCATGATCCACACAATCAAAAGCCTTTGTGTAGTCATTAAAGCACAGGTAAACATCGTTTTGCTTATTCTCTGCTTTCAGCCAAGATCCATCTGACGTCAGCAATGATATTCCTCGTTCCACGTCCTCTTCTGAATCCAGCTTGAACCTCTGGAAGTTCTCTATCGATGTATGGTTGCAGCCGTTTTTGTATTATCTTTTAGCAAAATTTTACTTGCATGCGATGTTTTATGATGTTGTCCAATGATTTTCACATTCTGTTAGGTCACTTCTCTTTGGAATGTGCACAAATATAAATGTCCTCCAGTCTATTGGCCAGGTAGTTGTCTTCCAAATTTCTTGATATAGATGAGTGAGTGCCTCCAGTGCTGCATCAGTTTGTTTCAAGATTTCAATTTGTATTCCATCAATTTCCTGAGCCTTGTTCTTTGTCACTGCCTTTAGTGCACCTTGGACTTCTTCCTTCAGTTAAGACTTGTTGTTGTTGTTAAGTGCTGTGGAGTCGGTTCCGACTCATAGTGACCCTATACAGGGTTTCCGAGGGTGTAAATCTTTACGGGAGCAGAATGCCTCATCTTTCTCCCGTGGCACAGCTGGTAGTTTCGAACTGCTGACCTTAAGGTTCACAGCCCGATTTTGTAATCACTACGCTACCAAGACTTAACCTCTCTTTTATTTTTTCTCTTCAAGATTTTCCTCTGTTTGGGAATTTTTTTCCATTTTAAATTTCTCTGAAAATGCTCCTTTTTAATGGTATCTTCTTGAGGAATGTTTAGTACCTTTGATGTCATGTCTTTGAGGACATTAATGAGTTCTTTTCCTTTCCTCCCTTCATTATGTCCTTTCCAAGTTGATTTTACTGCCTTTCTTTTGTTTTCTTTTAATGTTAAATGTTTCCCTCTGGTTGTTTTGGCTGCCTTAGTTTAATTGAAGACATTGGCACTAAACAGCTAAGAGCGCTGGCCTGTGGAGTATTGGTCTTGTTGACTATAAGTGGGCCACATTCTGGGGTGGGAAGTTGGGAACTCTTCCTGTAGATTTTATAGGTCTTTACTGTTGGTCTTATTTAGACTCCCTAGGGAATATTCTTCAGTCTTTTTCCTGTATGGCAAATGCTTGTCTCTGGCATCCTAATAGGAACAGATGCTGAGGTCGCAGCATTCATTTGATGTACAGTAGCTTTAATGCATCTGTGTTGGTTTTGTTTTTACAGTACGCTTACCCTGTGTTACTCTTGTTTAGAGACAGTGGGAAGAGGTGGGAGGAGGCTAGGGGTGAGGACTGCGCCGACTATCATCAAATCCTCTTACTTTTAGCTCAGGCTATACTCCTACTTCTAGCATCAGCGCTATAGGTAATGAGTTGCTTAGTTTGGTCCTTTACTATAAACTGGGTTGTTTACTGCTTTTCTCTACTACTGATTTAGGATTTGCCCCTCTAGTCAAGTACCATTTTCTGTGTGCTTTCTAGTCTATCAAACTGGGTTGCTGTCATGTGTTTTTCTGTTACTTGTCTTTCTAGACTGTCATATTTTTTAAAAGCCTTGTAGTCTAGATCTGTCATCTCTAACAAAAAGTTGATTATGATACTTTTTGAATATAGTAACCATAGCTGTGTGTGATTATTTAAACTTAATGAAAATTAAATAGTTAAATTTGGTTTCTCAGCCACACTGACCACATTGTAAATGCTCAGTAGCCATCTAGTTAGGGACTACAGTATGGCGCTGTGAAACCTGAAATCACTGTGACTGCAGGAAGTTCTGTTAGAAAGTGCTTCTCTGTGCTGTTTCTAAAATAAAAACCAGACACGCGCCATCGAAGCTGAAATGCCGCCATCCCTCCCTCTCCAAAACAAACAATGCAACCCTTTGCCATTAAGTGATTCCTCCTTATTTTGTTGTTGCTGGTAAGTGCCATCAAGTCAGTTCTGACTCATAGGAACCCTATAGAGAGTTTCCAAGGAGTAGGTGGTAGGTTTGAAATGGCTGACCCTGTGGTTAACAGCTCAGTGCTTATTCTACAGAGCTACACCAGGACTCCATTATGACTCCTAGTGACCCTATATAAGGTTTCCAGAATTGTGGATTTTTATGGGAGTAGACAGCCTCATCTTTGTCCCAGAGAGCTAAAAGTGAGTTTGAACCACCAACTTTGTGATTATCAGCTCAGTGCCTAGCCCCACAGCACCACCAGGACTCCTTTCTCTTCCCAGGACATCTCAATTTCAGTTTGACTCTGCATGCATATATTCCTGCTCTCTTCTGCATATTTCTGGTTTCCCCTGACCTTTTTCATACTTATCTGCTTTTGCTTGTACCATCCTTCTGTCTAGAATTTTCCCACTCCAAATAATGTGGCCCTTATGTTTTTAATTTGTTCATTTTTGTCTACTTTAAAAATGATTGTTCAAGGTTGAATTAACTATTTCTAAGGTCTAATAGTTGCTGTTTCCTCCCCATTTTCTATTTTTGTCTGGTGCAGTTTTGTGGGGACTTCTTTCTCTGATAGGGTGTGTGCTGCTTGGATGCTTGGAGTCATGTTTGTGTATTTCTTGACCTCTATGGCTCCTGGTGTGGCCCTGTGGGATAATGCACTAGACCACAAGGTTGATGGTTCAAACTCACCAGCTGCTCCTCAGAAGCCCTGTATAGGGTCTTTAATGTGTTGGAACCAACTTGATGGCAGTTAAATATCAACAACAACAAGCATTGATAGGAGTGGAGAAAGATGAGGCTTTCTGCTCCATCAAAGACAAAATGCCTTGGGAATCCTATACAGGTTAGGGTCTCTAGGAGTCAGAGCCAACTCCATGGCACTTAACGATGACAACGTTAGGGAGAGCCATGAGGGCACTACTTTGATTACTTGCCACCTGTCTTTAAATATTGGGTCCCTTTCCCTGATTCCTTAACCTTTTATTTTAACTTACGTGGGATTTTTCTAGTAGTTCTGTTTTATTATCTATGTTGTTTTTCGAATAAGGTATATTATAAATAACACTTCATGAGCAGAAATTGTACTAGATTTGAGTTAACGCATAGGCAACAGCTATATGGTCTCTGTCTTTTTCCTTAGTGGTTTTGATATTTGGAAGAAAAAATTACTTTTAGCTTTCTCCTTCTGTAGCATGTTTCTCCACTCATTTGGGACATCATACTCATTGTCTGAACCTTGTGGGTCCTCCACTCATCTCTCTGGCGTCTTCCCCCGCCTAACCGTGTGTGGAGTATGGGTCTAAGCGAGAATGCCTTCTCCTCTTGTGAGATGCCTTATGTGCACTTAAACCAGTGCTTCTCAGCTCTTACCCTTTTGTCTTTCATCCTCCCAATTCAGTGAAGCCGTGTTTTTAAGTGACATCTCTTTTTCTTTTAGAACCATTTTCCTAGTGATTTAAAAAATATAATTATTCCTGGTATGGAAGCTATTTGTGTTTAATTTTGGAAGCATTTTCTTTCTTATATGAGTGTTACTCGGGAGATACACTACTTGCCTTGAGTCAAGAAAGTGTCTGGTGGCTTAAATAGAATAAAATTTTCCTAAGTCTTTTGAACAGTTTGACTTCAAAAATTGTTTTGTATTGTTTCGTTGCTTTTGGCGATGTGGGCTGTGACCCTGTTACTTCTCTAAATATTTAAATCTGGTTTTTAAAAATGTCAGCTCACTGAGATTTGTTGTTTCTCCTTTTATTAAAATATACAACAGACCATTTTTACTTCGTATGGTGTTAAATCCCAATAAAAAGTATTCTAGAGTATCATTTGGTTTTGCGGTTTACTTAGGCTTTCTTTTTTGTTCCATACAGAATGGACATGGTGGTGGTCGAAGTCAGCAGACTCTAGACAGTAAGTATATAAGCTAACTCTTCTTGCCTTGTCTTGTGGAAGCCAGAGTAAGAAAGAGTACAGCTAACATTATGGGAGAGCACCGATTGGCCAGTACTTTTAATCCTGCAAAACTAGATGCTTTATGTTTTGTCCTGATAACTGCTTCTGATCCATCACTGGAACAAACAGAAACCAGGTTTGTTGGTTAAGAGAAACTAACTCTTGTTTCTGTGGCAGAAGCAGAAGCTGGAGGTACCCAGAGGGGGCATGTAGTATTAGCAATGCCATAGCCACTGTGAGAGGGAGTGATGTGATAGGCTTGAACTGTAGCCCGCCCGACTGCATCTTAGGTGTAGTTTGTAGTCTGGATTTAAAAGACACGTGGCTCAGAGACATCTAAAGATGTTGAAAGAACTGTAACACCAATAATGTGAAAATATTTTAAAGGAGAAATTGGTGTGCTAGTTCAGGAAAGACATGCTCATTGCTGTTCGGATCTGAAGAGCTATTGCTAAGAAGAGAGAGAAAGTGTTCACTGTGGACCTTAGTAGAAAATGCCTCTCCCCATTCTGTAGCATCTTACCTCAGTGATCACTAGAGATCATGCAGGCAAGTCTTTGTTAGTTGTGTGTCTGTTTTGCCTAGCTTGTCTGTGATAGTTGATACTTTCATCACTCAGCAAGACAGACAGGTGTTCTCTTTTGGTATTAATATTCCTGCATCTGCCAGGGTTGTTTGGAGAGACCTCTGTTGGTAGTTCTGGGTTTGTTAGATGACAGAGGAACTTGTCACTCCCGCAGTAGTTGTAGCAGTAACCTTTCCTCCAGACATGAGCCTGGCTGCCTGGCTGCCTAGGGTCAAGCATGTATAGGTGCCCTAGATTGTCTGCACATTTCACCTGAGACAGTGAGCTAGGAGCTACTGAGAACACATAGAAGACATTAAAGATGAATTGTTTCTGTCTATCCTCACTTTTCCCTGGGCTGGCTTCTCTTGAGTCTTGCTGTGAACCTGCTTACATGTGTGTTCTAAGGCCATGGGAGGAGGTAGCTGCTGGGATCTGAGTTTTGGATCAGGAACATCTGTAGTATCCTCATTTGGGTTCTGTAAGAACAGGTTTTATATCTGGAGTTGATTCTCAGTGAAAAGCAGGCCTCATGAATGTGATGACCATTGTAAGAATTTATTTGGTTTTGATGGTGTTCATTTTACCCTCCCTCTCTTTCAGACAAATAGCCTTTTAGAGGATAGAGTGAGTATCCCAGTTTAAGGTGTAAAGGTTGGTCCTCCTTCCTATTTGGAAAAGACAATGATGTTAGTATTTCCAAGCACATATCTGAGCTGTATGTGTGGAAAACCCCAGAACTGAGTCTTTTCCACAGCTAGGAGTGATTGCAATATCTGAGGTTATTCTTTGAAGCACATGACAAGGAAATTCTCACTGCTTTGGAATAGATTCTGGCTAGGAGGCGAATGTTCTTTTTCAGATTTTTGGCACATGTCCATGTCCATAGTGGGGGCACCCCTCCCTTAATTGACTGTGACCTTGGGCAGTGTGAGCCTCACTTGACACTGCTTTGATGATACAGAGCCCTAACCTTTAGCAGGTTTTCTTTTTGCCTTTGTAGAAAGGTTTGCATCACTTGATGACCATACATATCAGGGCAGGGCCTCTTGCCCTTTTTGGGTGCTGCTAAAGGGCAGTTTCCTTTAGGTGGTAGAAGACTGCCCATATTCTAGAACCATTTATGGTTATAAAGACATCCTGTCCCATTCTTTGTCTGAGTCTAAGAAAGGGCTTCTTTTCAGGGAAAATAACTGTCTATTTCAACTGAGCCTGACATGTCACAGGATTCTTGAGTATATTTCAGATAGTTTTGGCTCTCGAGCTAATCAGATCTGTTTCTTGCAGCTACTTCATCTGTTCCAGCTCCAAAGACAACAGACACTCCCTCTGCACTTGCATCTGTGGCCTCCCTGGCCAGCACCACCTCCTGCACTACACTTCTACCGTCCACATCCCAGCACACTGCTGCTTTGCCCTCTTTGTCTCAGCCTGGGGACCTATCCAGCAGCTCCCTCTCTCAGCTTAGCAGGTATGGAAAAAATGAGGGGTCCAGTGTGAGAGGTGAAATCATGAAGTCCCTATAGCAGGTTGTTCCCATGAACAAAGCATTTATGTTGCTGCTGGCATGAAGTACTGGCCTTAAGTTTTGGCTTCTGCTGGCACAGAACATGGGGTCCCCTAGGAATGGGGAGGGACAAGGTGTTGCTGTTAGTCCTCTCAGTCCCTCTGGAGGGCTCCCTGAGCCTAACCTCTCCTTCCAGGTCTGGGCTCACAGCACTGCGATGGGATTCTCAGCCAGTGTCTGACTTGTACTTATCTGGCTACAGAGTTTGAGTTATTAGAACAGAATGTATGAAGTGGGTTTTGTTTGCTCCTTAGGTCTTCTGACTAGAGTCTCCCCCTCCTCACTTTAGCCAAAAGTGTTACATTTGCATTCTGAATTTGATGGAAATTCAGCTTCTGATTCTGGCATGTGGGGTAGAACATAGGAACCTATTTCCCTCGTTTAAAGAGGTAATGAAAGACTCCAAGGCTGGTAGCATTCTTAGTACAATCTTCTTTGCACTTTTACAGCCTAAAGAGCAAATGGTAGCTGACTGACGATGCCTCCGGAGGTTTCTCTGGTCAAGATGTACCAGATCTCCATGGCGAGTGACCTGTTAGTTTATTTCTAACGCCAGCTCCTCCCCATCCCTAAGACCTGAGGAGATGAGGACTGACGGGCCTGGGGGTGGGGCCAAGCTTGGATGTAACCCACCTGGCTCTTGTGGAGGGAACTCCTTAACTCTTTCAGGTGGAGACATGGTGCTTTGCTTTGTCTTCTAGTTCACTCTCCAGCCGTCAGAACAGCCTCTCCTCTGCACATGCAGCCCTCTCCTCAAGCACAGCACTCACAGTAAGTGTCCTTTGGGCCCCTGATCCACCACCCTGTTCAGCACAGCGAGCTTGGAGTTTAGTTTCAAGAAGGTTGACTAAATATCTGAGTTGCTTGGTTGAAATTTTTTGATCTAGTTCCTTGGTTCGAGCGGTGACGCCCTAAGAACATGGGGGGTACTTTGCTTCCTGAGTAGGTGCCTTCTGATGGAATTGCTTCTCCAGACCCGTATTTTTCTGGCAGGAGTGTCAAGTGGTGAATTTACACCCAAGACTTTGCTAAACTGGCCACTCCATGAGACTTTTCTACCCATCGGAAGAACTTGAAGTTTTATTTTACGGGTCTTTTTCTGTTAAAGCATTTTACAGAAATATATTCATTACCATCTCTAGCTTGAGCTCCACTATGAATCAGATTTAATTAAGAGCGAAGACCCTGTGTTATATTGTGAAAGAAATGGCCTGCCTTTGCTGCTGTGGGCACATGTCCATCTCCCTGAGATAGCCCAGTAAGTAATTGCCTTGTGAGCTGTTGGCACTTACGTAGACATAATGGGGTATGCCTATTAGGAGTTCTGTTTGTTCTTTTCCTCGGGCCAACTTGTGCTCTCTCCCTCAACTCAGAGATAGACTTGTGAAGGGCAACATTGAAGAAGGGAGTCTGGAGGGAGGAGACACAAGGAACCAAGGAGTGTATTGTCAAGGAAGCAAAGCTGAGAGATTCCACATGGGTGTGCTGGCTGGGAAGTGTCCTGGTGTGCCACAGAGTAACCCTAGGTTATGGCTTGTTGAAGTGTGGTTTATTGAGTTGTGAGATTGGAGTCAGGCCATGTTGTGGTGGGTTGAGGAATAAGTTGTAGTGAAGTACAGACAGAAGAGGCAGGGTTGAGAGAGGGTTTTTAACTAAAAAGCCTGGAGAGACTGGATCATAACAGTGTGTGGAAAGGAAGGTATCTGGGGAAAGCAAATGTCCATGCTCCTGAGTGAGTGAGTCGAGGTGTCAGATTAGGGTGGTAGGGATGAGTTCTTGTGCAGGAAAGTGGAAGAAGACTTGAGTGGCAATGAATGGGAGAGGCAGGATATTGAAGAGATCATGTCATTTAGAGTGAGGAGTGCTAGAAAGGGGTGGTCCCATTCTTCCATCTGGATCTGGCTAATATCCTGGCTTTCAAACTCTTTTTGCAAGTGAAATCTTATATGTGAGCCTCTGTCGTAAAACACAAAGTCCCCGTCCCCCACCTCTGCCCTCGGTGTGGCCAGCGGAACTGTGAGCACTCAGCCCTGCAGAACTGCTGGCCTGGCCCTACAACCCTGGCAGGGTGGGGCCCAGCACACGCCTAGATCGACTGCACTCTAAAGTTCCTCAGCAGGAAAGTCCAAATCATACAACAAACTCCAAAACCAGATAGTGTCACTGTAACAGGACTGCCACATTGCTAATAGAGTCACACGAATAACTAGTAAAAATAGGAAAAGATACTGAAAAGGTTTCCTGTCATTCATCTGTCCCTCATCTAGTTTCATGATCTTCTAAAGTTGTTATAAAAGATAGTGTAGAGGCATATTCATCTTTCTTCTGTTGTCTGCCTT